AAAAAAAAGAAAAAGAAAAATTTTTTTGGTTAAGGAAAGAAAGAAAAAAGAAAATGTAAAGAAAGAAAGAAAGAGAAAGGATGAAAAAAGAAGAAAAAAAAAAAAAGAGAAAAAAAAAGAAAGAAAATGAAAAAAGAAAAAAAAAGAAAGGAATAAAAAAAAAATCTTTCGAAATGAAGAAAAAAAAAAGAAAAAAAAATTTGAAAAAAATGAAAGAATGAAATTGAAAGGAAAAAGAAAAGAAAAAGAAGAAGAATAAAAAAGAAAATAATGAAAGTATTTTTTAAAGAAAAAATAAAAAAGAAAGAAAAGAAAGAAAATTTAAAAGAAAGAAAAAAAGAAAGAAAAAAAAATTTTGAAAGAAAGAAAGAAACCATGGATTTGAAAAAAAAAAAGAAAAAAAGAAAAAAAAAAGACGGAGAAAGAAAAAAAAGAAAGAAAATTTTTATATAGAAAGAATGAAAGAATACAAAAAAAGAAAAAAAAAGAAAAAGGAGTAAAAAATAAAAATAGAGAAATAAATTTTGAAAGAAAGAAAAGAAAAAAAATAAAGAAAAAATATTAAATAAGAAAGAAAAGAAAGAAAGAAAAAAGAAAAAAAAATTTGAAGAAAATGGGGTGAATTTGAAAAAAAAAAAGAAAAAAAAAAATAAAGAAAAAAGAAAAAAATAAAAGAAAGAAAGGAAAAAAAGAAAAGAAAACAAAATGAAAAAAAAAAAAAAATAAATTTTAAAAAAAAAGAAAGTTTGAAAGAAAGAAAGGAAATGAAAGAAAGAAAAAAAAAAACAGGAAAAATGAAGAAAAAAGAAAGGAAAAAAAAAAAAAATAAAGAAAAAATAAAGAAATTTGAAAGAAAAAAAAAAAATGAAGAAAGAAATGAGAAAGAAAGAAAGAATGAAAAAAAGAAAATAAGGAAAGAAAGAAAGAAAAAAAAGGAAAAAAAAAAGAAAAAGAAAAAAAGAAAAAAGAAAAGAAAAATTTAAAAAAGGAAAAAAGAATCTGAAAGGAAAGAAAGAAAAAAAAAATGATTTAAGAAAATGAAAGAAAGAAAAGGAAAGAAAAAAAAAAAAGAAAGAAATGGAAAAAAAAGAAAAAAGAAAGAAAAAGAAAGAAAAAAAAGGAAAAGAAAAAAAAGAAAGGAAAAAAAAAGGAAAGAAAAAAAAAAAGGAAAAAAGAGTTGAAAAAAAAAAAAAAGAAAGAAAGATTTTGAAGAAAAAATGAAAAAAAAAAAAGGAAGGAAAGAAAAAAAAAGAAAAGAAAGAAAAAAAAAGAAAATTTGAAAAAAGAAAGAAAGAAAGAAATAAAGAAAAAAGAAAGAAAGAAAAAAAGACTGGAAAAAAGAAAAAAATGGCGAAAAAAAAAAATAAAGAAAGAAAAAAAAGAAAGAAAAGAGAAAGAAAAGAAAAAAAAAGAAAGAAAGGAAATAATAACAAAGAAAGAAAGAAAGAAAGAAAAAAAAAAAAAAAAAAAAGAAAGAAAAAAGAAGAAGAAAGAAAAAAAAGTGAAAAAATTCTGAAAAAAAAATCTAAAAAGGAAAAATTTTTTAATTTATTGAGAAAGAAAAAAAAAAAAGAAAAATTGAAAAGAAAGAAAGAAAAGAAAATTTAGAAAAGAAAAAAAGAAAAAAGAGTTTGAAAAAAAAATTGAAAAAAAAAAAGAAAGAAAAAAAAAAAAAAAGAAAAGAAAGAAAGAAAGAAAATTGAATGAAGAAAGAATTTAAAAAAGAAAAATTGATGGAAAAGAAAGAAAAAAAAAGAAAAGAAAAAAGAAAGAAAGAAAAAAGAAAGAAAGAAAAAGAAAAAGAAAGAAAGTTTTTTAAAAAGAAAAAAGAGAAAAAGAAAAAAAAAAGAAAGAAAAAAGAAAAAAGAAGAAAGAAGAAAAAAAGAAAAAAAAGAAAGAAAGGAAAAGAAAGAAAAAAAGAAAAAAAAAAATAATAAAAGAAAAGAAAGAAAGAAAGAAAGAAAGAAAAAAGAAAAAAAGAAAAGAAATAAAAAAAGGAAAAAAAAAAAAGAAAAAGAAAAAGAAGAAAAAAGAAAGAAAGAAAGAAAGAAAAAAAGGAAAAAAAAAAGAAGAAAGAAAAATGATTTAAAGAAAAAAAAGAAAGAAAAAAAGAAAGCAATAAAAAAAAAAAAAAGATTAAAAAGAAAAAAAAAAGAAAGAAAGAAAGAAAAGAAAGAAAGAAGAAAGAAAGAAAGAAAAAAAAAAAGAAAGAAGAAAAGAATAAAGAAAAAAAAAAAAAAAAAAAAATGAAAGGAAGGAATGAAAAGAAGAAAAAAAGAAAGAAAGAAAGAAAAAGAAAGAAAGAAAGAAAGAAAGAAAAGAAAGAAAAAAGAAAGAAAGATTTGATTGAAAGAAAGAAAAAAAAAAATGAAAGAAAAAAGAAAGAAAAAAAAAAATGAAAAAAAAAGAAAGAAATAAAAGAAAAGAAAAAAAAGGAAAAGAAGAAAGAAAAAAAAAAGAAAGAAAGAAAAAGAAAAAAAGAAAGAAAGGAAAAAAGCGGAAAAGAAAAGAAAGAAAGAAAAAAAAAAAAAGAAAGAAAAAAGAAATAGAAAAAAGAAAAAAAAAAAGAAAAGAAAAAAAGAAAAATTAAAAAGAAAGAAAGAAAGAAAAAAGAAAGAAAGAAAGAGAAAGAAAAAGAAAGAAAAGAAAGAAAGAAAGAAAAAGAAGAAAGAAAGACAATGATGAAAGAAAGAAAAAGAAAGAAAAAGAAAATTTAAAAGAAAGAAAGAAAGAAAGAAAAAAGAAACAAAAGAAAGAAAATTGGAAAGAAAGGAAAGAAAGAAAGACTGGCTGAAAAAAGGAAAGAAAAAAGAAGAAAGAAATGAAGAAAGAAAGAAAGAAAGAAAGAAATGAAAAAAGAGAATGAAAGAAAAAACAAAGAAAAAAAGAAAAAAAAAAAGAAAGAAAAGAAAGAAAGAAAGAAAGAAAGAAAGAAAGAAAAAGAAAGGAAGAAAAAAAAAGAAAGAAAGAATGAAAAAAAAAAAAAAAAAGGAAAAAGAAAGAAAGAAAGGGTTGAAAGGAAAGAAAGAAAGAAAGAAAGAAAGAAAAAAAAAAAAGAAAAGAAAGAAAATGAAAAGAAAGAAAAAAAAAGAAAGAAAGAAAGAAAAAGAAAGAAAAAGAAAAAAGAAAGAAATAAATGGAAAAGAAAGAAAGAAAGAAAGAGAGAAAAAAAAACAAAAGAAAGAAATGCGAGAAAAAGAATAAAGAAATAAAATAAAGAAAAATGATAGAAAAAAAAGAAAGAAAAAAAGAAAGAAAGAAAGAAAGAAAAGAAAGAAAGGAAGACATGAAAGAAAGAAAGAAAAAATGAAGAAATAAAAAAGAGAGAAAGAAAGAAAGATTGGGAAGAAAAGAAAAAAGAAAGAATGAAATGGCTGGAAAAAAGAAAAAAAGGAAAAAGAAAGAAAAAAAAAAAAAAAGACGTGTGAAAGAAAAAAAAAAAGAAAGAAAAAAGAAAGAAAGAAAGGAAAAAGAAAGGAAGAAAGAAAGTGGAAAGAAAGAAAGAAAGAAAGAAAAAAGAAAGAAAGAAAGAAGAGAAAGAAAGAAAGAAAGAAAGAAAAGAAAGAAGAAAAGAAAAAGAAAAAAAAGAAGTGGGAAAAAGAAAAAAGACTTGATGAAAAGAAAGAAAAAGAAAGAAAGAAAGAAAGAAAAGTGGATGAAATAAAGAAAGAATGGATGAAAGAAAGAAAAGAAAGAAAGAAAGAAAGAAAAAAAGAAAGAAAGAAAAAAAGAAAGAAAGAAAGAAAGAAAGGAATAAAAAAAAAAGAAGGTTTTTAAAGAAAGAAAAGAATGAAAAAATAAAGGAGTGTTTTTTAAAGGAAGAAGAAAGAAAGAAATGAAAAAATCTGAAAAGAAAGAAAGAAAAGAAAACAAAATGAAATAAAAAAAAAAAAAAAGAAAAGAACGAAAGAAAGAAAGATTTTGACGTTGCTAGAGAAAGAAAGAAAGAAAAGAAAGAAAGAAAAAAAAGACATGGAAAGAAAGAAAAAATGAAAAAGAAAGAATAAAGAAAAAAAGTTGAAAGAAAGAAGGAAATGAAATAAAAGAAAGAAAGAGAAAAGAAAGAAATTGAAAAAAGAAAGAAAAGAAGAAAGAAAAAGAGAGAAAAAAGAAAAAAAGAAAAAAGAAAGAAAGAAGAAAAAATGAAAAAAAAAAAAGAAAGAAAGAAGAAATGAAAGAAAAAATATTGTTCTTTTAAATACATTGAAAGAAAGGAAAATGAACAAAAAAAAGGAAAAAAGAAAAAAAAAAAAGAGAAAGAAAAAAAGAAAGAAATAAAAAATCTGAAAGAAAGAAAGAAAGAAACATTCATTAAAAGAATGAAGAAAAAAAAGAAAATAAAAGAATAAAAAGACTGAAAAAAAAGACGTTGCAAACCTTTCAAAATAAAGAAAGAAAAAAAAAAAAAAGAAAGAAAAAAAGAAAAGAAAAAAATAAAAGAAAGAAAGAAGAAAGAAAGAAATAAGAAAGAAAGAAAGAAAGAAAAAGAAAGTTGAAAAGAAAGAAAGAAAGAAAGAAAGAAAGAAAAAGAAAAAAAGAAAGAAAGAGAGAAAAAAGAAAAGAAAAATTTAGTTTTAAAAGAAAAAAAAAAAAGAAAGAAAGAAAAAGAAAGAAAGAAAGACGGGCTGAAAGAAAGAAAGAAAGAAAATGAAAAATAAAAGAGACATCTAAAGTTCATTTGAAAGAAAGAAAGAAAGAAAAAAAGATAAAAAAGAAAGAATGGAAAAAAGATAGAAAAAACAAACAAAAAGAAAGACGTGGCTGAAAGAAAAAAAAAAGAAAAAAGAAAGAAAAAAAGAAAAAAGACGTGGATGAAATAAAGAAAGGTAAAAAAAAAAAAAGAAAGAAAAAAGAAAGGAAAGAGAGGGAGGAAAAAAAGAAAGAATTGTAATGAAAAAATAAAGGAGGTTTAAAAGAAAGGGAAAAGAAAGAGAAAGAAAAAATCTGAAAAGAAAAGAAAGAAAAGTGGAAAGAAAGAAAAAGAAAAAAGAAATAAAGGCTTAAAGAAAAAAGAAAGAAAGAAAAAAAAGAAAGAAAGAAAGAAAAGAAAAAAGAAAGAAAGAAAAAAAAAAGAAAAAAAGAAAAGACGGCTTAAAAGAAAAAGAAAGAAAGAAAGACGTGGCTGAAAGAAAGAAGGAAAGAAATAAAGAAAGAAAGAGAGAAAGAAAGGAAAATGATTTGAAAGAAAGATGAAAGAAAGAATGAAAGAAAGTTGAAAGAAAAAAATGGCTGATAAAAGAAAAGAATGAAAGAAAGAAAGAGGGAAATGAAAAGGAATGTACACAAAGAAAGAAAGGAAGAATGAAAGAAAAAGGGAAATGAAAGTAAAGGTGTTCTTGAAAGAAAGAAATGAACAAATCTAAAAAGGAAGAAAGAAAAGAAACTTTAATTTATTGAGAAAGAAAGGATAAAGCTAAAAAAAAATGAAAAAGGAAATTTTCTGTGAAATTGAAAAAGAATTAAAAAAAAATCTAAAAGAAAAGAAAAAAAAAGAAAGACCATGGAAAGAAAGAAAATCAGAAAGAAAGAAAGAAATGAAAATGAAAGAAAAGAAAAAGAAAGAAAGAAAGAAGGAGAAAGAAAGAAAGAAAAAAAAAGAAAGAAAGAAAGAAAGAAGAAGAAAGAAAGATATCATGGAAAGAAAGAAAGAAAGAGAGAAAAAGAAAATAAACGTGGCTGAAAGAAAAAAGAAAGAAATTCCCATCAAAAGAAAAAAAAGAAAGAAAGACCTATGAAAGAATGAAACAATCATTAGACAAGATGAAAGAAAGAAAGAAAGAGAAAGAGATAGAAAGGAAGACATGGCTGAAAGAAAGAAAGAAAGAAATGAAGAAATAAAAAAGAGAGAAAGAAAGAAAGACGTGGCTGAAAGAATAAAAAGAAAGAAAGAAAGAGAGAAAGAAAGGAAGACATGGCTGAAAGAAAGAAAGAAAGAAAGAAAGAAAGAAAGAAAGGAATAGAAGGAAATGTTTGCTTTTTTTAAAGAAAAAATAAGAAAGCCTTTTTCGTGTTTAAAAGAAAGGAAAAAGAAAGAAAGAAATGAAAAAATGTGAAAAGAAAGAAAGAAAAGAAACATTCAGGCACAAAGAAAGAAAGAAAAAAGAAAACTTGCCACATGAAAGAACCAAAGAAAGAAAAGAAAGAAAGACGTTGCTGTGGGAAAGAAAGAAAGAAAGAAAGTAAGAAAGAAGTTGTGATGACAAAAAAGAACAAAGAAAGAAAGAAAAGAGAAAAAGAAAAAGGAATTTGAAAGAACAAAGAAAGAAAAAAGAAAAAGTCTTTGAAAGATTTTCCCTTTGAAAGAAAAAAAAAAAAGAAAGACGTGGCTGAAAAAAAGAATGGATGAAAAGAAAGAAAAAAGAGAAAAAGAAAAAGAAATAAAAAAATGAAGAAAAGAAATAAGAAAAAAAAAAAGAAAAAAAAGAAAGAAAGAAAGAAAGAAAAAAAGAAAGAAAGAAAGAAAGAAAGAAAAAGAAAGAAAAAAAGAATGAAAGCAAAAGAGAAAAGAAAGAATGAAAATTAGAAATTTAAAACAAGAAAGAAAGAAAGAAAAAAGAAAGAAGAAGAAAGAAAGAAAGAAAGAAAGAAAGAAAGAAAGAAAGAAAGAAAGAAAGAATGCAGAAAAAGAAAGAAAAAAAAAAGAAAAAAAAGAAAGAAAGAAAGAAAGAAAAAAGAAAGAAAAAGAAAGAAAGAAAGAAAGACATTGGAAAGAAGAAAGAAAGAAAGAGAAAAAATGATAAAGAAAGAAAGAAAAAGAAACAGCGAAAGAAGAAAGAAAGAAAAGAAAGAAAGAAAGAAAGAATAAAAAAAAAAGTTTTGAAAAAAGAAAAGAATGAAAATAAAAGGAAAGAAAGGAAAAAGAAAGAAAGAAATGAAAAAATCTGAAAAGAAAGAAAGAAAAGAAACATTCAGGCACAAAGAAAGAAAGAAAAAAAAGAAAAAAGAAAAAAATGAAAGAAAGAAAGAAAGAAAGAAAGAAAGACGTTGCTGAAAGAAAGAAAGAAAGAAAGAAAGAAAGAAAGAAAGAAAGAAAGAAAGAAAGAAAGAAAGAAAGAAAGAAAGAAAGAGAGAAAGAAAAAAGACATGGCTGAAAGAAAGAAAGGAAAGAAAAAAGAAAGAAAGACGTGGCTGAAAGAAAGAAGGAAAGAAAGAAAGAAAGACGTGGCTGAAAGAAAGAAAGAAAGAAAGAAAGAAAGAGAGAAAGAAAGGAAGACATGGCTGAAAGAAAGAAAGAAAGAAATGAAGAGAGAAAAAAAGAGAGAAAGAAAGACGTGGCTGAAAGAAAGAAAGAAAGAAAGAAAGAAAGGAAGACGTGGCTGAAAGAAAGAAAGAAAGAAAGAAAGAAAGAAAGAGAGAGGGTAAAAAGTAAAGGTGTTTTATTGAAAGAAAGAATAACATAAAGAAATGAAGAAATCTAAAAAGAAAGAAAGGAAACATTAATATATTTAGTAAAGAAGAAAAAAGAAAGAAAGAGTGAAATAAAAAATATAACAGAAGAAAAGAGATATAAAATTAAAACATTAACAGATTGAGAAAGAAAGGGTTATTAAAGGAATAGTAAGTAAGGTAGAAATATTAACTGATTACGAAAGGAAGATAAAGATATGTCTAAACCAAGAAAGAAAAAAGGAAAGTGAAGAACGACTATGCATACCAAAAAAAAAAAGAAAGAAAGAATAGACGGAAAGAAACACGCTGGTATTTTGAAAGAGAAATGAAATATAATGCATGCTGAGACTAAGACAAACACTGATCATGTCTACAGAAAAACAAAACACCTGTTTTATTATATGAGCCAATATTTTGACATTATAAGCACAAGTCTTTTCCGCCTATCGTTGGGCAAGTGAGACAACCCAAATATTTTTCTTAGATTCCAAAACAAAAAGGATAAAGGTAAAAGAATCAAACATGAGAAAGCTCCAACAGAAATTTCTGAGTCATGTGAGAAAAAAAAGAGGGCCTAGAAAATTAAACACTCACAGGGCATATTAAAGACAAGACAAGCAGAAGGCAACTTAACGAGTTTTAGTGAATCAATTATAGAACATGGATAAAAAGGGGGAAATGGTTAGAGCAACAAAAGATAGGAAGTTGTGGAGAGTCATGATCGACCACGTCCTGAAGAGACAAGATGCTTAAGAGGAGGAGGATTATATATTTAACAATGTTGCAGTCTTTTACGTTTCCCTTTGCCCTTCAAAAGTTCTTGGCAGATTTACTCGTCTTTAATTAAATTTGGCCATTTTATTCAGATTTCAAGACGACAAATAGAACATTATTCGTCTCATTTGCAAAGATGGATTTTTCCAAATGGGAAAATGCAAATCGTTTACACAGTTTTATGTGAATTAGTGAAAAAACAAAGGTGACAGTTGTGTCCATTATCATTGGCATATTTCAAGCAGTCGATAAATTTCCTTGCAGAAAGAGCGAAAGAAATAAAATTCCAGTAATTCTAATGTCTGCATGTTTTTAATTATACACCCTCATATAATTAAAAACATGCAGACATTGGAATTACTTTTGTTAGCCAAATATTCATTCAATCAACTGAAATATTGAACAAGTGAGAGAGCGTTCCTCCAGTCAGACTGAATAAAGACTAAGGCGAGTTTAGCGATATTCCTTCAATCAACAGGAATATCAAGGAAACATTCTCCCAGTCAGATTGAATATGGAAGGGAGTTCAGCAGTATTCCTCCAGTCAAGAGGAATACCAAGGAGAATTGGTATATTCCTCCAGTTAGACAGAATAATGAGGAGAGTTCAGGAGCACATTCCTCCAATCAATAGGAATACCAAGAAAATTTTACCTGCATTCCTCCAGTCAGATAGAATAAGGAGGAGAGTTTTGCAGTATTCGTTCAATCAATAGGAATAACGAGGAGACTTTAGGTACATTCCTCCAGTCAGACAGAATAGTGAGGAGAGTGCTGTAGTATTCCTCCAGACAAAATGAATACTGAGAAGACTGTTGGTACATTCCTCCAGTCAGACAGTATAATGGGGGAGAGTGCTGTAGTATTCCCCCAATTAACAGGAATACTGTTGATACATTCCTCCAGGCAGACAGAATAATGAAGTGTGTGCTGCAGTATTTTGCAAATCAACAGGAATACAAAAGGGGACTGTTGGTACATTCCTCCAGGAAGACAGAATAATGAGGTGAGTGCTTCAGTATTCTGCAAATCAACAGGGATACCAAGGAGACTGTTGGTACATTCCTCCAGGAAGACAGAATAATGGGGAGAGTGTTTCAGTATTCTGCAAATCAACAGGGATAGAAAGGGGTTGGTACATTCCCTCCAGGAAGACAGAATAATGGGGGGGGACTGATTCAGTACATTCCTCCAGGAAGACAGAATAATGGGAGAGTGCTGTATTCTGCAAATCAACAGGGATACGAAGGGGACTGTTGGTACATTCCTCCAGGAAGACAGAATAATGGGGAGAGTGCTGAAAATCAACAGTATTCTCCAGGAAGACAAATCGGGGAGAACTACAGTATTCTGAAAATCAACAGGGATACGAAGGGACTGTTGGTACATTCCTCCAGGAAGACAGAATAATGGGGAGAGTGCTTCAGTATTCTGCAAATCAACAGGGATATGAAGGGGACTGTTGGTACATTCCTCCAGGAAGACAGAATAATGGGGAGAGCTTCAGTATTCCGCAAATCAACAGGGATACGAAAGGACTTTGGTACATTCCTCCAGGAAGACAGAATAATGGGAGACTGAAAATCAACAGGGATTCCGAAGGGGACTGTTGGTACATTCCTCCAGGAAGACAGAATAATGGGGAGAGTGCTTCAGTATTCCGCAAATCAACAGGGATAAGGGACTGGGATATTCCTCCAGGGGAAGACAGAATAATGGGGGACTCAGTATTCCAAAAAATCAACAGGGATACGAAGGGACTGTTGGTACATCCTCCAGGAAGACAGAATAATGGGGAGAGTGCTTCAGTATTCCGCAAATCAACAGGGATACGAAGGGGACTGTTGGTACATTCTCCAGGAAGACAGAATAATGGGAGGGGAGTGCTTCCAGGAAGACAGTATTCCGCAAATCAACAGGGATACGAAGGGGGACATTCCAGGAAGACTGCTTGGTCAACAGGGATTCCTCCAGGAAGACAGAATAATGGGGAGAGTGCTTCAGTATTCTGCAAATCAACAGGGATACGAAGGGGACTGTTGGTACATTCCTCCAGGAAGACAGAATAATGAGGAGAGTGCTTCAGTATTCTGCAAATCAACAGGGATACCAATTCCTCCAGGAAGACTGTTGGTACATTCCTCCAGGAAGACGAAGAACGGTTGGTACATTCTCCAGGGACAGAGTGCTTCAGTATTCCGCAAATCAACAGGGATACGAAGGGGACTGTTGGTACATTCCTCCAGGAAGGCAGAATAATGAGGAGAGTGCTTCAGTATTCTGCAAATCAACAGGGATACTTCTATTCCGAATGGGACTGTTGGTACATTCCTCCAGGAAGACAGAATAATGGGGAGAGTGCTTCAGTATTCTGCAAATCAACAGGGATACGAAGGGGACGGTTGGTACATTCCTCCAGGAAGACAGAATAATGGGGAGAGTGCTTCAGTATTCTGCAAATCAACAGGGATACGAAGGGGACTGTTGGTACATTCCTCCAGGAAGACAGAATAATGGGGAGAGTGCTTCAGTATTCTGCAAATCAACAGGGATACGAAGGGACTGTTGGTACATTCCTCCAGGAAGACAGAATAATGGGGAGAGTGCTTCAGTATTCCGCAAATCAACAGGGATACGAAGGGACTGTTGGTACATTCCTCCAGGAAGACAGAATAATGGGAGAGTGCTTCAGTATTCTGCAAATCAACAGGGATACGAAGGGACTATTGGTACATTCCTCCAGGAAGACAGAATAATGGGGAGAGTGCTTCAGTATTCCGCAAATCAACAGGGATACGAAGGGACTGTTGGTACATTCCTCCAGGAAGACAGAATAATGGGGGAGAGTGCTTCAGTATTCTGCAAATCAACAGGGATACGAATGGGACTGTTGGTACATTCCTCCAGGAAGACAGAATAATGGGGAGAGTGCTTCAGTATTCTGCAAATCAACAGGGGAACAGGGACTGTTGGTACATTCCTCCAGGAAGACAGAATAATGGTCAGTACATTCCTCCAGGAAGACAGAATAATGGGGAGAGTGCTTCAGTATTCTGCAAATCAACAGGGATACGAAGGGGACTGTTGGTACATTCCTCCAGGAAGACAGAATAATGGGGAGAGTGCTTCAGTATTCTGCAAAATCAACAGGGATACGAAAGGGACTGTTGGTACATTCCTCCAGGAAGACAGAATAATGGGGGGAGAGCAAATGCAGGGATGAAGGGGACTGTTGGTACATTCTGCAAATCAACAGGATATTCTGAAGGGGATACGAAGGGGATTGTTGGTACATTCCTCCAGGAAGACAGAATAATGGGGAGAGTGCTTCAGTATTCTGCAAATCAACAGGGGATATGAAAGGGGACTATTGGTACATTCCTCCAGGAAGACAGAATAATGGGGGAGAGTGCTTCAGTATTCTGCAAATCAACAGGGATACAGAAGGGGACTGTTGGTACATTCCTCCAGGAAGACAGAATAATGGGGAGAGTGCTTCAGTATTCTGCAAATCAACAGGGATACCAAGGGGACTGTTGGTACATTCTCCAGGAAGACAGAATAATGGGGGAGAGTGCTTCAGTATTCTGCAAATCAACAGGGATACGAAGGGGACTGTTGGGTACATTCCTCCAGGAAGACAGAATAATGGGGAGAGTGCAAATCAGGGATATTCTGCAAATCAACAGGGATACGAATGGGACTGTTGGTACATTCCTCCAGGAAGACAGAATAATGGGGAGAGTGCTTCAGTATTCCGCAAATCAACAGGGATACGAAGGGGACTGTTGGTACATTCCTCCAGGAAGACAGAATAATGGGGAGAGTGCTTCAGTATTCCGCAAATCAACAGGGATACGAAGGGGGACTGTTGGTACATTCCTCCAGGAAGACAGAATAATGGGGAGAGTGCAAATTGAAGGGACCTGTTGGTACATTCTCCAGGAAGACAGTATTCATCTGCAAATCAACAGGAATACAGTACATTCCAGGAAGATGAATAATGGGAGGGGACTGTTGGTACATTCCTCCAGGAAGACAGAATAATGGGGAGTGCTTCAGTATTCTGCAAATCAACAGGGATACGAAGGGGGACTGTTGGTACATTCCTCCAGGAAGACAGAATAATGGGGAGAGTGCTTTCAGTATTCTGCAAATCAACAGGGATACGAAGGGGACTGTTGGTACATTCCCTCCAGGAAGACAGAATAATGGGGAGAGTGCTTCAGTATTCTGCAAATCAACAGGGGATGAAGGGACTGTTGGTACATTCCTCCAGGAAGACAGAATACGGGGGGAGAGTGCTTCAGTATTCTGCAAATCAACAGGGATATTCCTCCAGGAAGACAGAATAATGGGGGAGGGGACTGTTGGTACATTCCTCCAGGAAGACAGAATAATGGGGAGAGTGCTTCAGTATTCTGCAAATCAACAGGGATACGAAGGGGACTGTTGGTACATTCCTCCAGGAAGACAGAATAATGGGAGAGTGCTTCAGTATTCCTGCAAATCAACAGGGATACGAAGGGGACTGTTGGTACATTCCTCCAGGAAGACAGAATAATGGGAGAGTGCTTCAGTATTCTGCAAATCAACAGGGATACGAAGGGGACTGTTGGTACATTCCTCCAGGAAGACAGAATAATGGGGAGAGTGCTTCAGTATTCCGCAAATCAACAGGGATACGAAGGGGACAATTGCTGGTACATTCCTCCAGGAAGACAGAATAATGGGGAGAGTGCTTCAGCATTCTGCAAATCAACAGGGATACGAAGGGACTTCCTCCAGGAAGACAGAATAATGGGGAGAGTGCTTCAGTATTCTGCAAATCAACAGGGATACGAAGGACTGTTGGTACATTCCTCCAGGAAGACAGAATAATGGGGAGAGTGCTTCAGTATTCTGCAAATCAACAGGGATATGAAGGGGGACTGTTGGTACATTCCTCCAGGAAGACAGAATAATGGGAGAGTGCTTCAGTATTCTGCAAATCAACAGGGATACGAAGGGGACTGTTGGTACATTCCTCCAGGAAGACAGAATAATGGGGAGAGTGCTTCAGTATTCTGCAAATCAACCGCGATACGAAGGGGACTGTCTCCAGGAAGACAGTACATTCCTCCAGGAACTGTTGGACAGGAAGAATAATGGGGAGAGTGCTTCAGTATTCTGCAAATCAACAGGGATACGAAGGGGACTGTTGGTACATTCCTCCAGGAAGACAGAATAATGGGGAGAGTGCTTCAGTATTCTGCAAATCAACAGGGATACGAAGGGGACTGTTGGTACATTCCTCCAGGAAGACAGAATAATGGGGAGAGTGCTTCAGTATTCTGCAAATCAACAGGGATGCTTCTGCATTCTAAAAAAAATCAACAGGGAAGGGGACTGTTGGTACATTCCTCCAGGAAGACAGAATAATGGGAGAGTGCTTCAGTATTCTGCAAATCAACAGGGATATGAAGGGGACTGTTGGTACATTCCTCCAGGAAGACAGAATAATGGGGAGAGTGCTTCAGTATTCTGCAAATCAACAGGGATACGAAGGGGACTGTTGGTACATTCCTCCAGGAAGACAGAGGAAGACAGATTCTGACAAAATGCAAAACAGGGATGAAGGGACTGTTGGTACATTCCTCCAGGAAGACAGAATAATGGGGAGAGGCTTCAGTATTCTGCAAATCAACAGGGATACGAGGGGACTGTTGGTACATTCCTCCAGGAAGACAGAATAATGGGGAGAGTGCTTCAGTATTCTGCAAATCAACAGGGATATGAAGGGGACTGTTGGTACATTCCTCCAGGAAGACAGAATGCAAATCAACAGGGGAGAGTACATTCCTCCAGGAAGACAGAATAATTCAGTATTGCAAATCAACAGGGATACGAAGGGGACTGTTGGTACATTCCTCCAGGAAGACAGAATAATGGGAGAGTGCTTCAGTATTCTGCAAATCAACAGGATGATACGAAGGGGACTGTTGGTACATTCCTCCAGGAAGACAGAATAATGGGGAGAGTGCTTCAGTATTCTGCAAATCAACAGGGATACGAAGGGACTGTTGGTACATTCCTCCAGGAAGACAGAATAATGGGGAGAGTGCTTCAGTATTCTGCAAATCAACAGGGATACGAAGGGGACTGTTGGTACATCTCCAGGAAGACAGAATAATGGGGAGAGTGCTTCAGTATTCTGCAAATCAACAGGGATACGAAGGGGACTGTTGGTACATTCCTCCAGGAAGACAGAATAATGGGAGAGTGCTTCAGTATTCCGCAAACCAACAGGGATACGAAGGGGACTGTTGGTACATTCCTCCAGGAAGACAGAATAATGGGGAGAGTGCTTCAGCATTCTGCAAATCAACAGGGATACGAAGGGACTGTTGGTACATTCCTCCAGGAAGACAGAATAATGGGGAGAGTGCTTCAGTATTCTGCAAATCAACAGGGATATGAAGGGGACTGTTGGCACATTCTCCAGGAAGACAGAATAATTGGGAGAGTGTTATTCTGCATTCTGCAAATCAACAGGGATATGGAAGGGGACTGTTGGTACATTCCTCCAGGAAGACAGAATAATGGGGAGAGTGCTTCAGTATTCCGCAAATCAACAGGGATACGAAGGGGACTGTTGGTACATTCCTCCAGGAAGACAGAATAATGGGGAGAGTGCTTCAGTATTCTGCAAATCAACAGGGATACGAAGGGGACTGTTGGTACATTCCTCCAGGAAGACAGAATAATGGGGAGAGTGCTTCAGTATTCTGCAAATCAACAGGGATACGAAGGGGGGTACATTCCTCCAGGAAGACAGAATAATGGGGACAGTATTCTGCAAATCAACAGGGATACCAAGGGGACTCCTCCAGGAAGACAGAATAATGGGAGAGTGCTTCAGTATTCTGCAAATCAACAGGGATACGAAGGGGACTGTTGGTACATTCCTCCAGGAAGACAGAATAATGGGGAGAGTGCTTCAGTATTCTGCAAATCAACAGGGACATGAAGGGGACTGTTGGTACATTCCTCCAGGAAGACAGAATAATGGGGGGAGAGTGCTTCAGTATTCTGCAAATCAACAGGGATACGAAGGAGACAAATTGGTACATTCCTCCAGGAAGACAGAATAATGGGGAGAGTGCTTCAGTATTCTGCAAATCAACAGGGATACGAAGGGAGACTGTATGGTACATTCTCTCCAGGAAGACAGAATAACACATTCTCCAGGAAGAGTCTATCAGTATTCTGCAAATCAACAGGGATACGAAGGGGACTGTCCTCCAGGAACAGAATTCCTCCAGGAAGACAGAATAATGGGGACTGTGCTATCAGTCCTCCAGGAATTCTGCAAATCAACAGGGATACAAATCAACAGGGGGACTGTTGGTACATTCTCCAGGAAGACAGAATAATGGGAGAGTGCTTCAGTATTCTGCAAATCAACAGGGATACGAAGGGGACTGTTGGTACATTCCTCCAGGAAGACAGAATAATGGGGAGCTTGTATTCTGCAATCAAAGACAAGAATATTCTGCATTTCAACAGGTAACAAGAACGATGGGGAGAAGGGGACAAGAATGGTACATTCCTCCAGGAAGACAGAATAATGGGGAGAGTGCAAGAATTCTTCATCAAATCAACGAGTAACAAAAGGGACGATGGAAGATTCCTCAACAATCATCATTAATATTCTCCAGGAACAAAGAGCTTCGATGGAAGACAAGAATAATCATTTCAACAGGGAACAAAGAGCTTACGATGGAAGACAAGAATAATCATCATTATATCGAGTAAAAAGAGCTTCGATGGAAGACAAGAATAATCACATTTCTATTGAGTAACAAAGATTCCTCCAGGATGGAAGAACAATGGGAATAATCATCAGTATTCTGCAAATCGAGGGTAACAAAAGAGCATTCGATGGAAGACAAGAATAATCATCATTTCTATCGAGGAACAAAAAGAGCTTCGATGGAAGACAAGAATAATGGGGAGATTTTCTACCGAGTATTCTGCAATGGAAACAAGAATAATCAAGGGGACTAACAAAGATTCTTCGATGGGAAGACAGAATAATCATCATTTCTATCGAGTAACAAAGAACTTCGATGGAAGACAAGAATAATCATCATTTCTACCGAGGAACAAGAACTTAGATGGAAGACAAGAATAATCATCATTTCAAATCAACGGGATAACAAAGACTTGATGGAAGACAAGAATAATCATCATTTCTACAGAACAAAGAGCTTAGATGGAAGACAAGAATAATCATCATTTCATCAGTAACGAAAGGGCTTCGATGGAAGACAAGAAGTAACAAGGAAGATGGAAATGAGAATAATCATCATTTCTACCGAGTAGATGAAGACAAGAATAATCATCATTTCTATCTAACAAATAGATGGAAGACAAGAATAATCATCATTCTATCCAGGAAACAAAGAGCTTAGAGAAGACAAGAATAATCATCATTTCTACAGAGTAACAAAGGCTTAGATGGAAGACAAGAATAATCATCATTTCTATCGAGCAAACAAAGAGGGATGGAAGACAAGAATAATCATCATTTCTAAAGCTTAGATCGAGGAAGAAAGAGAAGATGGAAGACAAGAATAATCTGCAAATTTCGGGTAACAAAGAGCTTAGATGGAAGACAAGAATAATCATCATTTCTATCGAGTAACAAAGAGCTTAGATGGAAGACAAGAATAATCATCATTTCTATCGAGTAACAAACAGCTTAATGATGGAAGACAAGAATAATCATCATTTCTACCGAGTCAACAGGGAAGAGCAAGGATGGAAGACAAGAATAATCATCATTTCAATCGAGTAACAAAGAGCTTCGATGGAAGACAAGAATAATCATCATTTCTATCGAGTAACAAAAGAGCTGATGGAAGACAAGAATAATCATCATTCCAGGAAGACAGAATAAAAAGAGAGCTTCGATTCTGCAAATCAACAGGGAAGACAAGAATAATCATCATTCCTCCAGGAAGAAAGAGCTTAATGGAAGACAAGAATAATCATCACGAGTAACAAAGAGCTTCGATGGAAGACAAGAATAATCATCATTTCGAGCAAACAACAGGCTACGAAGGGGATGGAAGACAAGAATAATCATCATTTCTACCGAGGAACAAAAGAACTTCGATGGAAGACAAGAATAATCATCATTTCAAATCAACAGTAACAAAAAGGGACTTAGATGGAAGAGGAAAGAATAATCATCATTTCTTCAGTATAACAAAGAGCTTCGATGGAAGACAAGAATAATCATCATTTTCTACCGAGAAACAAAGAGCTTCGATGGAAGACAAGAATAATCATCATTTCTATCGAGTAACAAAGAGTACTTCGAGGAAGACAGAATAATTCATTTCTACCAGGTAACAAAGAGCTTCGATGGAAGACAAGAATAATCATCATATTTGCTAACAGGTAACAAAGAGACTTCGATGGAAGACAAGAATAATCATCATTTCTATCGAGTAACAAATCAACAGGGATGGAAGAGGGAATAATCATACATTTTCCAGGAGTAACAGAAACTTGATGGAAGACAAGAATAATCATCATTTCTACCGGTAACAAAGAGCTTCGATCCAGGAAGAAGACAATGGGAGATAATCATCATTTCTACAAAGAGCTTCGATGGAAGACGAGTAACTGGTAAATAACAAAGAGCTTGATGGAAGACAAGAATAATCATCAGTTTCTATCGAGTAACAGGGATAAAGAGCTTCGATGGAAGACAAGAATAATCATCATTTCTATGAGTAACAAAGAGCTTCGATGGAAGACAAGAATAATCATCATTTCTATCGAGAAGAAAGAACTTCGATGGGAGACAAGGGAGTAACAAAATCGATGGAAGATCAATCATCATTTCTACCGAGGAACAAAGAGCTTCGATGGAAGACAAGAATAATCATCATTTCTACCGGGACTGTTGGTGATGGAAGACAAGAATAATCATCCAGGTAAAAACAGAATGATGGAAGACAAGAATAATCATCATTTCAACAGGGAGTAACAAAAGAGCTTACATTCCTCGATGGAAGACAAGAATAATCATCATTTCTATCGAGTAACAAAGAGCTTCGATGGAAGGGGAATAATCATACATTTCTCCGAGTAACAAAGAGCTTAGATGGAAGACAAGAATAATCATCATTTCTATCGAGTAACAAAGGGCTTCGATGGAAGACAGAAGAATAATCATCATTTCTATCGAGTAACAAAGAGCTTCGATGGAAGAGAAGAATAATCATCATTTCTACCGAGTAACCGGGGAAGAGCTTCGATGGAAGACAAGAATAATCATCATTTCTATCCAGTAACAAAGAGCTGATGGAAGACAAGAATAATCATCATTTCTATTCTGCAAACAAAGGGCTTCGATGGAAGACAAGAATAATCATCAGGAAGACAGTAACAAAGAGCTTAGATGGAAGACAAGAATAATCATCATTTCTATCGAGTAACAAAGAGCTTAGATGGAAGACAAGAATAAATTCTATCGAGTAACAAGGGGGAGCGTTGGTATGGAAGACAAGAATAATCATCCAGGAAGAAAGAGCTTCGATGGGGAAGACAAGAATAATCATCATTTCTACAGGGTAACAAAGGGACTTAGATGGAAGACAAGAATAATCATCATTTCTATCTGCAAATCGATGAGTAACAAGGAAACAAAGAACAGGATGGAAGTACACAGGAGACAAGAATAATCATCATTTCTATCGAGTAACAAAGGGCTTTGGATGGAAGACAAGAATAATCATCATTTCTATCGAGTAACAAATCAACAGGGATGGAAGACAAGAATAATCATCATTTCTATCAGGAAGAAAGAGCTTAGATGGAAGACAAGAATAATCATCATTTATGCAGTAACAAAAGCTTAGATGACAAAGACAAGAAGGGGGACAAAGTTGATGGAAGACAAGAATAATCATCCTATCAGGAACAAAGAATAATGGGGAAGACAAGAATAATCATCATTTCTATCGGATACGAAGGGGACTTTGGATGGAAGACAAGAATAATCATCATTTCTATCGAGTAACAAAGGGCTACGATGGAAGACAAGAATAATCCTCCATTTCTATGGGGAGAAGTAATAAAAGAGCTTCAGATTGAATCAACAAGAATAATCATCATTTCTATCGAGTAGGAAAGAGCTTCGATGGAAGACAAGAATAATCATCATTTCAAATCGAGTAACAAAGAGACTGATGGAAGACAAGAAGAAGAATCATTTCTACCGAGTAACAAGTATTCTGCTTCGATGGAAGACAAGGGAATCATCATTTCTATCGAGTAAGAAAGAGCTTGGATGGAAGACAAGAATGCAAATCATCATTTCTACCGAGTAACAAAGAGCTTCGATGGAAGACAAGAATAATCATCATTTCTACCGAGTAACAAAGAGACTTCGATGGAAGACAAGAATAATCATCATTTCTACCGAACAAAGAACTGCGAAGGAAGACAAGAATAATCATCATTTCTATCGAGTAACAAAGAGCTTAATGGAAGACAAGAATAATCATCATTTTATCGCATAATCAACATTTCGATGGAAGACAAGAATAATCATCATTTCCTATGGAAGACAAGAATAATCATCATTTCTATCGAGTAACAAAAACAGGGATGGAAGACAAGAATAATCATCATTTCTATCGAGTAACACAGAGAGCTTCGATGGAAGACAAGAATAATCATCATTTCTATCGAGTAACAAAAGAGCTTCGATGGAAGACAAGAATAATCATCATTTCTCCGAGTAACAAAGAGCTTCGATGGAAGACAAGAATAATCATCATTTCTATCGAGTAACAAAGAGCTTCGATGGAAGACAAGAATAATCATCATTTCTATCGAGTAACAAAGAGCTTCGATGGAAGACAAGAATAATCATCATTTCTATCGAGGACAAAGAGCTTCGATGGAAGACAAGAATAATCATCATTTCTATCGAGTAACAAAGAGCTTTGATGGAAGACAAGAATAATCATCATTTCTATCGAGTATTCACAAGAGCTTCGATGGAAGACAAGAATAATCATCATTTCTATCTGATGGAAGACAAGAAAGAATTTCAGGAAGATAACAAAGATGGAAGACAAGAATAATCATCATTTCTATGGGAGAGTAACAAAGAGCAACTGATGGAAGACAAGAATAATCATCATTTCTATCGAGTAACAAAAGGACTTCGATGGAAGACAAGAATAATCATGGGAGATTTCTCGAGTATCAGTAACAAAATCAAAGAACAGGGATGGAATGGGACAATTTCTACCGAATAACAAAATCGATGGAAGACAAGAATAATCATCATTTCCAGGAACAAAGAGCTTCGATGGAAGACAAGTAATGCAAATCATCATTTCTATGAAGGGTAACAAAAGAACTTCGATGGAAGACAAGAATAATCATCATTTCTATCGAGTAACAAAGAGCTTAGATGGAAGACAAGAATAATCATCATTTCTATCGAGTAACAAAGAGCTTGATGGAAGACAAGAATAATCATCATTTCTATCAGGAACAAACAGCTTGATGGAAGACAAGAATAATCATCATATTTCTATCGAGTAAAAAAGAGCTTCGAGGAAGACAAGAATAATCATCATTTCTATCGAGTAACAAAGAGCTTAGATGGAAGACAAGAATAATCATCATTTCTCCGAGTAACAAAGAGCTTGATGGAAGACAAGAATAATCATCATTTCTATGGAGTAACAAAGAGCTTCGATGGAAGACAAGAATAATCATCATTTCTATCGAGTAACAAAGAGCTTCGATGGAAGACAGAATAATCATCATTTCTATCGAGTAACAAGGCAGGATGGAAGACAAGAATAATCATCATTTCTATCGAGTAACAAAGAGCTTAGATGGAAGACAAGAATAATCATCATTTCTATCGAGTAACAAAGAGCTTCGATGGAAGACAAGAATAATCATCATTTCTATCGAGTAACAAAGAGCTTAGATGGAAGACAAGAATAATCATCATTTCTATCGAGTAACAAAGAGCTTAGATGGAAGACAAGAATAATCATCATTTCTATCGAGTAACAAAGAGCTCAAGATGGAAGACAAGAATAATCATCATTTCTATCGAGAAACAAAGAGCTTGATGGAAGACAAGAATAATCATCATTTCTATCGAGTAACAAAGAGCTTCGATGGAAGACAAGAATAATCATCATTTCTATCGAGTAACAAAGAGCTTCGATGGAAGACAAGAAGAATCATCATTTCTATCGAGTAACAAAGGCTTCGATGGAAGACAAGAATAATCATCATTTTCGAGTATCGATGGAAACAAATCAATCGATAACAAAGAGCTTCGATGGGAAGAATAATCATCATTTCTATCGAGTAACAAAGAGCTTGATGGAAGACAAGAATAATCATCATTTCTATCGAGTAACAAAAGAGCTTCGATGGAAGACAAGAATAATCATCATTTCTACCGAGTAACAAAGAGCTTCGATGGAAGACAAGAATAATCATCATTTCTATCGAGTAACAAAAGAACTTCGATGGAAGACAAGAATAATCATCATTTCTATCGAGTAACAAAGAGCTTAGATGGAAGACAAGAATAATCATCATTTCTACGAGTAACAAAGAGCTTGATGGAAGAACAAGAACAAGAGCTTGATGGAAGACAAGAATAATCATTTCGAGTAACAAAAGAGCTTAGATGGAAGACAAGAATAATCATCATTTTCTACCGAGTAACAAAGAGCTTCGATGGAAGACAAGAATAATCATCATTTCTATCGAGTAACAAAAGGCTTCGATGGAAGACAAGAATAATCATCATTTCTACCAGAGTAACAAAGAGCTTCGATGGAAGACAAGAATAATCATCATTTCTACCGAGTAACAAAGAGCTTCGATGGAAGACAAGAATAATCATCATTTCTATCGAGTAACAAAGAGCTTCGATGGAAGACAAGAATAATCAGGAATCAGAATAACGAAGAGTAACAATCATTCTTCGATGGAAGACAAGAATAATCATCATTTCTATCGAGTAACAAAGAGCTTCGATGGAAGACAAGAATAATCATCATTTCTATCGAGTAACAAAAGAGCTTCGATGGAAGACAAGAATAATCATCATTTCTATCGAGTAACAAAGAGCTTCGATGGAAGACAAGAATAATCATCATTTTTACCGAGTAAAAAAGAGCTTCGATGGAAGACAAGAATAATTCTATCGAGTAACAAAGAGCTTCGATGGAAGACAAGAATAATCATCATTTCTACGAGTAACAAAGAGCTTCGATGGAAGACAAGAAGAATCATCATTTCTATGGTAACAAAAGAGCTTCAGATGGAAGACAAGAATAATCATCATTTCTACCGAGTAACAAAGAGCTTCGATGGAAGACAAGAATAATCATCATTTCTATCGAGTAACAAAGAGCTTGATGGAAGACAAGAATAATCATCATTTCTATCGAGTAACAAAGAGCTTGATGGAAGACAAGAATAATCATCATTTCTATCGAGTAACAAAGAGCTTCGATGGAAGACAAGAATAATCATCATTTCTACCGAGTAACAAAGAGCTTCGATGGAAGACAAGAATAATCATCATTTCTATCGAGTAACAAAGAGCTTCGATGGAAGACAAGAATAATCATCATTTCTATCGAGTAACAAAGAGCTTCGATGGAAGACAAGAATAATCATCATTTCTACCGAGTAACAAAGAACTTCGATGGAAGACAAGAATAATCATCATTTCTATCGAGTAACAAAGAGCTTAGATGGAAGACAAGAATAATCATCATTTCTACCGAGAAACAAAGAGCTTCGATGGAAGACAAGAATAATCATCATTTCTATGGAGTAACAAAGAGCTTAGATGGAAGACAAGAATAATCATCATTTCTATCGAGTAACAAAGAGCTTAGATGGAAGACAAGAATAATCATCATTTCTATCGAGTAACAAAGAGCTTCGATGGAAGACAAGAATAATCATCATTTCTATCGAGTAAACAAGAGCTTCGATGGAAGACAAGAATAATCATCATTTCTATCGAAAACAAAGAGCTTCGATGGAAGACAAGAATAACATCATTTCTATCAGGAAACAGAATAATGGGGAAGACAAATCATAATCGAGTAACAAAAGAGCTTCGATGGAAGACAAGAATAATCATCATTTCTATCGAGTAACAAAGGGAGAGATGGAAGACAAGAATAATCATCATTTCTACCGAGTAACAAAGAGCTTAGATGGAAGACAAGAATAATCATCATTTCTATCGAGTAATTCTGCAAATCTTCGATGGAAGACAAGAATAATCATCATTTCTATCGAGTAACAAGAGCTTCGATGGAAGACAAGAATAATCATCATTTCTACCGAGTAACAAAAGAGCTTCGATGGAAGACAAGAATAATCATCATTTCTATCCAAACAAAACAAAGGAAGCTTCGATGGAAGACAAGAATAATCATCATTTCTATCGAGTAACAAAGAGCTTCGATGGAAGACAAGAATAATCATCATTTCTATCGAGTAACAAAGAGCTTCGATGGAAGACAAGAATAATCATCATTTCTATCGAGTAACAAAGAGCTTCGATGGAAGACAAGAATAATCATCATTTCTATCGAAGAGTAACAAAGAGCAAGGGATGGAAGACAAGAATAATCATCATTTCTATCGAGTAACAAAGAGCTAGATGGAAGACAAGAATAATCGATGAAAACAAAGAGCTTGATGGAAGACAAGAATAATCATCATTTCTATCGAGTAACAAAGAGCTTCGATGGAAGACAAGAATAATCATCATTTCTACCGAGTAACAAAGAGCTTCGATGGAAGACAAGAATAATCATCATTTCTATCGAGTAACAAAGAGATGGAAGACAAGAATAATCATCATTTCTATCGAGTAACAAAAGAGCTTCGATGGAAGACAAGAATAATCATCATTTCTATCGAGTAACAAAGAGCTTCGATGGAAGACAAGAATAATCATCATTTCTAGGGACGAGTAACAAAGAGCTTAGATGGAAGACAAGAATAATCATCATTTCTATCGAGTAACAAAGAACAGGGATGGAAGACAAGAATAATCATCATTTTTTATCGAGTAACAAAGAGCTTCGATGGAAGACAAGAATAATCATCATTTTTACCGAGTAAACAAAGAGGGAAGATGGAAGACAAGAATAATCATCATTTCTACCGAAAGTAACAAAGAGCTTCGATGGAAGACCGTAATCATCATTTCTCCGAGTAACAAAGAGCTTGATGGAAGACAAGAATAATCATCATTTCTATCGAGTAACAAAAAGCTTCGATGGAAGACAAGAATAATCATCATTTCTAGGAAGTAACAAAGAGGAGAGCTTCGATGGAAGACAAGAATAATCATCATTTCTACCTAACGAGAAAACAAGAATAATCATCAGGATTTAGATGGAAGACAAGAATAATCATCATTTCTACAAATCAACAGTAACAAAAGAGCTTCGATGGAAGACAAGAATAATCATCATTTCTACCGCAAAGTAACAAAGGCTTCGATGGAAGACAAGAATAATCATCATTTCTACCAAGTAACAAAGAATGGAAGACAAGAATAATCATCATTTCTATCTGAGTAACAAAGAGGCTTACGATGGAGGGACTGAATAATCATCATTTCTCCAGTAACAAAGAGCTTCGATGGGACAAGAATAATCATCATTTTCTACAAATCAACAAAGAGCTTCGATGGAAGACAAGAATAATCATCATTTCTATCGCAAATAACAAAGATTCGATGGAGGACTGTAATCATAATTTCTCCAGGTAACAGAAGCTTCGATGGAAGGAGAATAATCATCATTTCAAATCAACAAGGATAGATGGAAGACAAGAATAATCATCATTTCTCCAGTAACAAAGAATTCGATGGAAGACAAGAATAATCATCATTTCTATCGAGTAACAAAGAGCTTCGATGGAAGACAAGAATAATCATCATTTCTACCGAGTAACAAGACAGATGGAAGACAAGAATAATCATCATTTCTATCGAGTAACAAAAGAGCTTCGATGGAAGACAAGAATAATCATCATTTCTATCGAGTAACAAAGAGCTTCGATGGAAGACAAGAATAATCATCATTTTCCAAGTAAAAAGATGCTACGAAGGGGACTGTTCATCATCCAGGAAGACAGAAGAATGGGAGATCAGAATATTCTGCAAATCAACAGGGTAACAAGAGCTTCGATGGAAGACAAGAATAATCATCATTTCTGCAAAGTAACAAAGGATTCGATGGAAGACAAGAATAATCATCATTTCTACCGAGTAACAAAGAGCTTCGATGGAAGACAAGAATAATCATCATTTCTATCAAGTAACAAAGGGCTTAGATGGAAGACAAGAATAATCATCATTTCTACCGAGTAACAAAGAGCTTGGATGGAAGACAAGAATAATCATCATTTCTATTCTAACAAAGAGCTTAGATGGAAGACAAGAATAATCATCATTTCTAAAGGGTAACAATTCCTTCCAGGAAGACAAGAATAATCATCATTTCTATCGAGTAACAAAGAGCTTAGATGGAAGAAGACAAGAATAATCATCATTCTGCTAACAACCGATGGAAGACAAACAGGGATACGAAGGAAGACAACAATGATGAATCACAAGAATAATCCAGGAAGACAGAATAATGGGAAGACAAGAATAATCATCATATTCTGCAAATCAAAGGGATACGATGGAAGACAAGAATAATCATCATTTTCCTCCAGGAAGACAGATGGAATGGGGACAAGAATAATATTCTGCAAATCTAACGGGTAACAAAGGGACTGTTGGTACATTCCTCCAGGAAGACAGAAGAATGGGGGGAATCATCATTTCCGCAAATCAACAGGGATACGAAGGAAGACATTCTTCCAGGAAGACAGAATAATCATCATTTCTACCAAGCAAATCAACAGGGATACGAAGGGGAATAATGGTCATTTCCTCCAGGTAACAAGAGAATAATGGGGACAAGTGCATTTAATCATGATGAATTTCTTCTACCAAGTAACAAGAGCTTCGATGGAAGACAAGAATAGGGGACTGTTGGTACATTCCCCAGGAAGACAGGAATAATGGGACTACATTCCTCCAGAGACAAAATAAGTGCTTCAGTATTCTGCAAATCAACAGGGATACGAAGGGGACTGTTGGTACATCCTCCAGGAAGACAGAATAATGGGGAGAGTGCTTCAGTATTCTGCAACAACAAAAAGGGATAATTCCTCCAAGAATAAAGGAGATTTCTTCAGTATTCTTCAACAGGGATACATTCCTCCAGGAAGACAGAATAATGGGAGACTGTTGGATACGAAGGGGATCATCATTTCTCCAGGAAGACAGAATAATGGGGAGAGTGCTTCAGTATTCTGCAAATCAACAGGGATACGAAAGGGCTTGATTCCTCCAGGAAGACACAGAATAATGGGGAATCATTGCTCCAGGAAGACAGAATAATCCAGGGAGAATAATCAGGAGTATTCTGCAAATCAACAGGGATACGAAGGGGACAGTAATTCTCCAGGAAGACAGAATAATGGGAGCTTCGATACTGCAAATCAAGGGATACGAAGGGGACTGTTGGTACATTCCTCCAGGAAGACAGAATAATGGGGAGAGTGCTTCAGTATTCTGCAAATCAACAGGGATACGAAGGGGACTGTTGGTACATTCCTCCAGGAAGACAGAATAATGGGAGAGTGCTTCAGTATTCTGCAAATCAACAGAATTCTGAATAAAATCATCATTTCAGGAAGGGGATTGGGGAGAGAAAGACAAGAATGCTCATCATTCCGCAAATCAACAGGATACTGTTGGGGAGGAAGACAGAATAATGGGGAGATCATTCTTCTGCAAATCAACAGGGATGGAAGGGGACTGTTGGTACATAATCCAGGAAGACAGAATAATGGGGAGTGCTTCAGTGCAAATCAGTATTCTGCAAAGACAGAAAATGGGGAGAGGATCATCTGCAAATCAACAGGGAAGGGGACTGCTGGTACATTCCTCCAGGAAGACAGAATAATGGGGAGAGTTAATCAAATCAACTTCAAGGAGAGTATTCCAGGAAGACAAATCAGGGATCAACAGGGATATGAAGGGGACTGTTGGTACATTTGCAAATCAACAGGAAGACAGAATAAGGGGAGAGTGCTTCAGTATTCTGCAAATCAACAGGGATACGAAGGGGACTGTTGGTAACATTCACATCCCAGGAAGACAGAATAATGGGAGAGTGCTTCAGTATTCTGCAAATCAACAGGGATACGAAGGGGACTGTTGGTACATTCCTCCAGGAAGACAGAATAATGGGGAGAGTGCTTCAGTAATTCTGCAAATCAACAGGGATACGAAGGGGACTGTAATACATTCCTCCAGGAAGACAGAATAATGGGGGAGAGTGACAAAGTATTCTGCAAATCAACAGGGATACGAAGGGACTGTTGGTACATTCCTCCAGGAAGACAGAATAATGGGGAGAGAGTCTATTCTGCAAATCAACAGGAACAGGGTATTCTGCAAAATCAGAATAATGGGGGGATTCTGCAAACAAAGGGATACGAAGGAGACTGTTGGTACATTCCTCCAGGAAGACAGAATAATGGGGAGAGTGCTTCAGTATTCTGCAAAATCAACAGGGATACGAAGGGGACTGTTGGTACACTTCGATGGAAGACTCCAGGAAGACAGCAAATCAATGGGGATATGCTACCGGTAACATTCTCCAGGAAGACAGAAAATCAACAGGGATCAACGAAGGGGATTGTTGGTACATTTCTCCAGGAAGACAGAATAATGGGAGAGTGTCAGTATTCTGCAAATCAACAGGGATACGAAGGGACTGTTACATTCCTCCAGGAAGACAGAATAATGGGAGAGTGCTTCAGTATTCCGCAAATCAACAAGGAACGGGGACTGTTGGTACATTCCTCCAGGAAGACAGAATAATGGGGGATTTCTATCAGTATTCCGCAAATCAACAGGGATACGAAGGGAGACAAGAACATTCCTCCAGGAAGACAGAATACCGGGGAGAGTAACAGGGGCTTCTCCAGGAAGACAGAATAATGGGGAGAGTCAGCATTCTGCAAATCAACAGGGATCCACGAAGGCAAATCAACAGGATACTGACTTGGTACATCCTCCAGGAAGACAGAATAATGGGGGAGAGTGCTTCAGTATTCTGCAAATCAACAGGGATTCGATGGGACTGTTGGTACATTCCTCCAGGAAGACAGAATAATGGGGAGAGGCTTCAGTATTCTGCAAATCAACAGGGATACGAAGGGGACTGTTGGTACATTCCTCCAGGAAGACAGAATAATGGGGGAGAGTAATCATCATTCTGCAAATCAACAGGGATACGAAGGGGACTGTTGGTACATTCCTCCAGGAAGACAGAATAATGGGAGAGTGCTTCAGTATTCTGCAAATCAACAGGGATTCGAAGGGACTAATCATCATTCCTCCAGGAAGACAGAATAATGGGGAGAGTGCTTCAGTATTCTGCAAATCAACAGGGATACGATGGGGACTGTTGGTACATTCCTCCAGGAAGACAGAATAATGGGGGAGAGTGCTTCAGCATTCTGCAAATCAACAGGGATTCGAAGGACAGGAATACATTCCTCCAGGAAGACAGAATAATGGGGAGAGTGCTTCAGTATTCTGACAAATCTACCAAGTAACAACAGGGATACGAAGGGGACTGTTGGTACATTCCTCCAGGAAGACACAGAATAAAGGGATACGATGGGACCGCTGGTACAGTCAATTCTGCAAATCAACAGGATACAGGGAAGGAACTGTTGTTGGTACATTCCTCCAGGAAGACAGAATAATGGGGAGAGTGCTTCAGTATTCTGCAAATCAACAGGGATACGAAGGACTGTTGGTACATTCCTCCAGGAAGACAGAATAATGGGAGAGTGCTTCAGTATTCAAAATCAACAGGGATAATGAAGGGGACTGTTGGTACATTCCTCCAGGAAGACAGAATAATGGAGGAGAGTATTTCAATTCCGCAAATCAACAGGGATTCCTCCAGGAAGACGAAGGGGACTGTTGGTACATTCCTCCAGGAAGACAGAATAATGGGGAGAGTGTTTCAGCATTCTGCAAATCAACAGGGATAATGAAGGGACTGTTGGTACATTCCTCCAGGAAGACAGAATAATGGGGAGAGTGCTTCATATTCTGCAAATCAACAGGGACACGAAGGGACTGTTGGTACATTCTCCAGGAAGACATAATGGGGAGATCAGTATTCTGCAAATCAACAGGGATACGAAGGGACTGTTGGTACATTCCTCCAGGAAGACAGAATAATGGGGAGAGTGTCAGGATCAACAGGGATACGAAGGGGGTACATTCCTCCAGGAAGACAGAATAATGGGGAGAGGAATTCTGCAAAGAATAATGAGGGGAGACATTCTTCCAGGAAGACAGAATTGGGGAGAGCCAAAATCAACAGTCCTGACAAAGGAATTCTGAAGGGACTGTTGGTACATTCCTCCAGGAAGACAGAATAATGGGGAGAGTGCTTCAGTATTCTGCAAATCAACAGGGATATGAAGGGGACTGTTGGTACATTCCTCCAGGAAGACAGAATAATGGGAGAGTGCTTCAGTATTCTGCAAATCAACAGGGATACGAAGGGGACTGTTGGTACATTCCTCCAGGAAGACAGAATAATGGGGAGAGTGCTTCAGTATTCTGCAAATCAACAGGGATACGAAGGGGACTGTTGGTACATTCCTCCAGGAAGACAGAATAATGAGGAGAGTGCTTCAGTATTCTGCAAATCAACAGGGATACGAAGGGGACTGTTGGTACATTCCTCCAGGAAGACAGAATAATGGGGAGAGTGCTTCAGTATTCTGCAAATCAACAGGGATACGAAGGGGACTTATGGTACATTCCTCCAGGAAGACAGAATAATGGGAGAGTATTCTGCAAATCAGTAAAATCAAAGGGACTAAGGAGACTGGTAAATCTCCAGGAAGACAGAATAGGGAAGGGGACCGTTGGTACATTCCTCCAGGAAGACAGAATAATGGGGAGAGTGCTTCAGAATTCTGCAAATCATCAGGGATACGAAGGGACTGTTGGTACATTCCTCCAGGAAGACAGAATAATGGGGAGAGTGCTTCAGTATTCTGCAAATCAACAGGGATACGGAAGGGACTGTTGGTACATTCCTCCAGGAAGACAGAATAATGGGGAGAGTGCTTCAGTATTCTGCAAATCAACAGGGATACGAAGGGGACTGTTGGTACATTCCTCCAGGAAGACAGAATATGGGGTACAGTCTTCTGCAAATCAACAGGGATACGAAGGGGACTGTTGGTACATTCCTCCAGGAAGACAGAATAATGGGAGAGGATATTCTGCAAATCAACAGGGATACGAAGGGGACTGTTGGCACATTCCTCCAGGAAGACAGAATAATGGGGAGAGTGCTTCAGTATTCTGCAAATCAACAGGGATACGAAGGGGACTGTTGGGTACATTCCTCCAGGAAGACAGAATAATGGGGAGAGTGCTTCAGTATTCTGCAAATCAACAGGGATACGAAGGGGACTGTTGGTATTCTCCAGGAAGACAGAATAATGGGGAGAGAGTGCTTCTTATTCTGCAAATCAACAGGGATACGAAGGGGATTACATTCTCCAGGAAGACAGAATAATGGGGAACATATGGTACATTCCTCCAGGAAGACAGTAATGGGAGAGTGCTTCAGCATGGTAGTGCAAATCAACAGGGATATGAAGGGGACTGTTGGTACATTCCTCCAGGAAGACAGAATAATGGGGAGAGTGCTTCAGTATTCTGCAAATCAACAGGGATACGAAGGGACTGTTGGTACATTCCTCCAGGAAGACAGAATAATGGGGAGAGTGCTTCAGGGTATTCTGCAAATCAGGAAACAGGGATACAGGGAAGAAGGGACTGTTCAGGAAGGACATTCCTCCAGGAAGGGAGAATAATGGGAGAGTGAGTTCAGTATTCTGCAAATCAACAGGGATACGAAGGGGAAAATTGGTACATTCCTCCAGGAAGACAGAAATAATGGGAGGGGAGTGCTCCTCCAGGAAGACAGAATAATGGGGAGAGTGTATTCTGCAAATCAACAGGGAGAAGGGGACTGTTGGTACATTCCTCCAGGAAGACAGAATAATGAGGAGAGTGCTTCAGTGTTCTGCAAATCAACAGGGATACGAAGGGGACTGTTGGTACATTCCTCCAGGAAGACAGAATAATGGGGAGAGTGCTTCAGTATTCTGCAAATCAACAGGGATACGAAGGGGACTGTTGGTACATTCCTCCAGGAAGACAGAATAATGGGGAGAGTGCTTCAGTATTCTGCAAATCAACAGGGATACGAAGGGGACTGTTGGTACATTCCTCCAGGAAGACAGAATAATGAGGAGAGTGCTTCAGTATTCTGCAAATCAACAGGGATACGAAGGGGACTGTTGGTACATTCCTCCAGGAAGACAGAATAATGAGGAGCTTCAGTGTTCTGCAAATCAACAGGGAGAAGGATTGTTGGTATTCTGAAAAGAATAACAGGGATACAATCAGGGGACTGTTGGTACATTCTCCAGGAAGACAGAATAATGGGGAGAGTGCTTCAGTATTCTGCAAATCAACAGGGGATACGAAGGGGACTGTTGGTACATTCCTCCAGGATTCCTCCAGGAAACAGAATAATGAGGAGAGAGGGTATTCTGCAAATCAACAGGGATACGAAGGGGATGTTGGTACATTCCTCCAGGAAGAAAGAAAATCAACTTCAGTATTCGCAAATCAAAGGGATACGAAGGGGACTGTTGGTACATTCCTCCAGGAAGACAGAATAATGAGGAGAGTTCAGTATCATACCTCCAATAAACAAGCAGAAATACTGAGGGGAGTGATGGTGTATATTACTAATCTGCCAGAATACTGGAGAGATTGAAAAAATATTCCTCCAATCGGCTGGAATTCAGAAGATATAATTGGAGTATTCCTCCAATCAACTAGAATACTGAGAGAATTGCTGGTATATTCCTTCAGCCAACTAGTATACTAATAAGATTGATGATATATTCCTTTAATCAGCTAGAATAAAGAACAGAAATAGTACCCGACAAAGCAGAGAAGCTGATAAAAAAATGAACACGTCAAGATTTCATGGGATTTTAACATCTAAATAGACCAGGTACTTGAGGCTATCTAACCAGATATCGCCATTATTATAAGAAAAGAAGGACATAATAACAAGAAAATGCCCTATCATCGATGTGGCTGTTCCTGGGGATCATAATATCAGGGTCAAACAAGTTGTGACCTCCAGATTGATATTGCCTTAATGTGGGATGTTCAGGCCACTATTGTCCTGGTTTCATTGGGGTCAATTCCTCTGAATCTAAAGACCCACATTGAGAAAATCAGATTAAAGCCTCGTGTCTCATTGCTTCAGAAGTTTGCATAGCTTGGCTCGACAATTATTCTGTGAAAGGTGATGTCTGTCTGTGGTCACATTACTTGATGGAGAACTTTCACAATGCACTATCTCTGATTGAAAATGAAAAACTGCCTGGAAGAAGAAGAAGAAGAAGAAGAAGAAGAAGAAGAAGAAGAAGAAGAAGAAGAAGAAGAAGAAGAAGAAAATAATGTCGATTGGAAGCATGAATAACAATAAGCAAAAGAATACAAGACAACGGAAAGAAGAAGAAGAAGAAGAAGAAGAAGAAGAAGAAGAAGAAGAAGAAGAAGAAGAAGAAGAAAGAGAAGAAGAAGAAGAAGAAGGCGGAGGGGGAGAAGAAGAAGAAGAAGAAAATAATGTCGATTGGAAGCATGAATAACAATAAGCAAAAGAATACAAGACAATGGAAAGAAGAAGAAGAAGAAGAAGAAGAAGAAGAAGAAGAAGAAGAAGAAGGAGGAGGAGAAGAAGAAGAAGATAAGTAAAGCTCTCATATTATGAAAAGCTTTATCGATGTAAAATGTGTGTGATGTTAGTTTTTTCTTTTTTTTTATAAAAATGATCAGTGAAAAATGTCATAAAGACATTTCTGACCTTAGGACGAAGAAGGAAATGTGTATACAACACAAATCAAAAGAAATAATATTAATAAAAAAAATAATAATAATGTAGTAAGCATTTTTATTCAGCAATAAAAGAAGCCAACAAATTCAAAATAGAGTTTCAAATGGGTGCAGAAATACAAGTAAAGCACAATACACTGAATGAAGCTGCAAAATACTTAAAAAAGAAAGCAAAAGCAAATGAAACCAATCAGATCCAGAAACAATGGCAAGATAAATCATTTCATGGTCAATAATCTCCCCATACGAAACAAGCTGGGGTAGACAAACCCCAGACCCATCGATGGCTACATAGTGAAGCTGAAACTAAAGGTTTTATCGTTACTGCACAGGACCAATGCTTGTTAACTATAATTTATCAAGCACATATACTAAAATATTGTGTTCGCCCAAAATGCAGATGATAAATATCCAGAAACAATTGATCATCTTGCACATTATTGGCACCCACTGAATATAAAACCCAGCATGACAGAGTGGGCCAATATCTGCACTGGAAAATCTGCAACTTCTACAGAAAGGAAATTGAAAGAAATTGGTATGAACACCACTCAGACCTGGTTACAGAGATAGGACCTGTTACAATTTTATGGGTCTACACAATACACACAGACAGAACAATAAAAGCTAATCACCCAGACATTGTTATAAGAGACTGAAAACAAAAAAAGTGTCTCTTTATTGATATGGCAGTCCCTGCAGACTGCAATGTATCTTTGAAGATCTTCAAAAAGCTTTCAAAATACAAAATACCTTGAAATTGAAATCACAAAAATGTGGCACATGAGAACATCAACAATCGCTGTTGTCGTTGAAGCCCTAGGATTGGTTGGAAAAGATTCCAGTAGACTAATTGAAGGGATTCCTGGTAGCCCATGCCTTAAAGAAATACAAAATATTGCTCTCTCAAGTAAAGACCACACCTTGCGAATACCTTTATCTATGTAAAATATGTTTATTTTTATTTTTTTGTCAGTGGAAAATGTCATGATGCCATATCCAACCTTAGGTCTCTGGGCGGGACCTGGAAAGAAATGTGTACACACCAGAAATCAAAGGAAATAATAATAATCATCATCATCATAATAATAACGAACAATCAAAGCTAATTGATCAAAGACCACAAGAAGAAAATCTACCTTCTTATTGTAATGGCAGTCCTTGTAGATTGTAATGGATCTTTGAAGATCTTCAAAAAAATCTATCAAAATTGAAGGGTCTTGAAATGGAAATCTCAAAACTGTGACAACATGAGTAGAACGATAATTCCAGTTTTACTTGGGGCCAAAAGAAAAGACAGTATAAATAAAGACTAAAGAAAAAAGAAAAAATTTTTAATGTTTTTTTTAAGAGTGACTTTATCTATGCAAATGGAACCTTGACAATGTATTGAAAGGGAAATGGGTTTTGATCAGATATGCTGTATTCATATTCAAATTTTACACCAAAACCCACACACACACACACACTCTCTCTTACACACACACACACACACATACACACACACACACATATATATACGTAAGTTTTTTTGCATATATATAGCCTAATCATGATGTCCATTTAAATATTATTAACCTTATTATTATTATTATTATTTATTATTTTTACTGTTAAAATTATTATTATTATTATTGCCTATTTTTGATTTTCTCTCATTGAATACTACTACTACTACACAAACACTCCTGCCATAACATGAACACATATATTTTGAGGCTGTTGCAGAAATAACACAAACACAGAAATGAAAAAGAAATACATTTCAGAACCTCCCACATAATGGTAAGAAATTACCTAGCTGAAGCCACTATTGCCATTTCTAACAAGGCAATTTCAAGGATTTGATTTTGTAAAAAGTATTTATAAACAAGAGTAAAAATATATTTTTTTAATTTTGAAATATATATATTCATCAGGCTAGCAGAAAAGTCTTGGTAGATTATGGAGGACACTAAGGACATAATTTGATGTGTAATAAATGAAAGTGAATAAAAGGTGTTCTGAAAATTTTGCAACATAGAACCAAAGACAAACAATTAATCAAAAGTCCAGAAATTTATTATTAAAATGGTTCTGGTTAATTTTGGTTAATAACAATAAAATGCTATTGTAAACAATAGTAAATTAGTTACCAATAATATTCAAACTGCAAGCCACCTGCTTTAACGCTTTGCTTTTTCATTATAAGTAACCTTATAGTGACTTTATTGGCACCTGTATAAATATATATATATATATATATATATATATATATATTGAACTTGCTACATTATTGACTACAGAAACAAAATAACACAAAACTAGAAAAGATTCTTGACACAATATATTGGGATTAAAAACAGTTATAATAAAATGAAAAAAGAAATAATAATAATAATGTTATTAATATCAATAATAATAATAAGTATCTTTATATGGAAAGCTCAGAATATGGCAAATGAGGACATCAATAACTCCAGCTGTAGTTGGAGCCCTCAGATTGATTCGAAAAGGGTCTGATAGATTCATTAAAAGCATTCCCATTCCTTAATGAAATACAAAATATTGTACTCACGAGTACAGCTTGCATATTATGAAAACTTTATCTATGTAAAATGTGTTATCCTGGTTTGTTGTTTTAGAATTATCAGTGAAAAATATGATCTCATTTTTGTACCTTAGGTCTATGGTTGGGACTCAGAAGGATATGTGTATAAAACAGAAATCAAAGGAAATAATAATAATAATAATAATAAGTTTGAAAAGGAAAAGTTTGAACATTCTTCAGTTTTTACCTTTTTAACTTTTTTATATAAGTTTTCTTTCAAATATCCATCAACATTTTTAATGAGCATACAACATAAATTGATTTTCAACTGTGTTTTTAAATTTTATATCTAGCATTAAGATTGTTTGTTTCAATGATGTATGTACAAATAATTATAATAATAATAATGATATTTCTAATCTTAGGTCTCTGGTTGGGACCTGCAAGGAAATGTTTTATACAACAGAAATCAAAGGAAATAATAATAATAATAATAATAATAATAATAATAATAATAATAATAATAATGAGGAACTTGAAGTAGAAATCTCAAAATGTGGCATATGATAACATGAATAATTCCATCTGTAGTTGGAGCCCTCAGATTGATTGGAAAAGAGTTCAATAGATTCTTTAAAGGGATTCCTGGTAGCTCATGCCTTAAAGAAATACAAAATATTGTACTCACAAGTACAGTTCACATATAATGAAGAGTTTTATCTATGTAAAATGAACGTGATCTTAGATTTTTTTCTTGTTTTTTTACAATTTTTGTTGGGCATAAAAAAAAAATTTGGAAAATATGCTATTTGTTTGAGGTTGCATGACTTGATGGAGACCATCTGTAATACAAGATCTCTGGTTGAAACAAAAAGCCGTGCAGTAGAAAATGATGATGATGATGATGATGATGATGATGATGATGATGATGATAAGTGCAGCTCACACATTAGAAAGAGCTAAGTAAAATGCATATTATCTTATTTTGGAGGGGAGGGTTCTTTTTCGAAAATGAGCAGTGGAAGAAGTCATGAAGCCATTTTTGTATCTTAGATCTCTGGTTGGGACCTGGAAGGAAATGTGTATACAACAAAAATCAAAGGAAATAATAATAATAATAATAACCAGTAATAAAAGCAGCCAACAAGTTCAAATAGAAATTTCAAGGAGGTGAAGACGTGCACCTATTATGGCGGCAAAAATCTAAAAAGAAAGCAAAAGCGAATGGAATGTACCAAATGCAGAAATGATGGCAAGATAAACCCCTTCATGGCCAATACTCTGCCTGTACCAAACAAGCTGATGTAGACAAACCCCATACCCTACAGTGGTTACATAGTACATGCTTAGACCTGAAACTGAAGGTTTTATTCTTGTTACACAAGACAAATGCTTGCAAAGTAGAACTTAGCAAATACACATATTGTAAAATTGTGTTGATACCAAATGCAAATTCTGTGATAAATATCCAGAAACAATTGACCATCTTGCATCAGGTTGTGGTGTTGGCACCGACTGAGTATAAAACCTGGCATGATAGCATGAGAAACACACTCAATATATTTAGATTTTGTCTCAAAGATTAGGGAACTAGAACTAGAAGAAGCCTATAAATACCACTGAATCAGTGAAGGAGAAGTACATGTGTGTGTGTCTAGTGTGAAATACTGAATTGAATTCACAAAACAGGAGATCCGCTATAAACACTTTGGCTGTCCCTGTTTTGCAATACAGTTTCAATATCCTTAACTGGACCATAACTGAATTAAGCAGATAGACGCCAAAACGAGATAGCTTCTCAGTTGCCACCACATGCATCATCCTGAGTCTGATGTTGATCATTTGTATGTGTTCGGATCTGAAGGAGGTAGAGGATTAGTTCAACTAGAACTGTTTTATAAAACCACAACAATCGGTCTACAAAGATACCAGGAAACTAAATAAGACTGGATAATGATCTGTGTCAAAGAACATGAAAGAAATAAGAAACTTTATTTAGTAATAAAGGAAGCCAACAAATTTAAATAGGAATTTCAAGTTGCTGAAGAAGTGGAAGTGCAAATAAACCATAATACACCGACTGCAGCGGCAAAAAAAGAAAAAAGAAAAAAGAAAAAAAGAAATCAAACATAATGGAACAAATACAGAAACGATTTTAAGATAAAATGGTCAATACTCTCCCTGTACCAAACAAGCTGATGTACAGAAACCCCGAACCCATTATTGGCTACGTAGTGCAGGGTTAAAAGCTGAAACCGAAGGTTTTAATCTTGCTGCACAGCACCAATGCTTGCTAACTAGAAATTACCAAACACACATACAGGAAAATTGCGTTAGCCCC